CAACGATGATCAAAGACTTGAAGGCGCTTTAGATCTTCAGACCAAAGGGGCCAAGTCTCACTACCATAGAGCAGAACGGCCCTCACTGTGGCCTTGTATACCCGGCCTTTCAGACGGAGGGAAACTCCCTTCTGTCGCCAAAGATGACGCAGGTTCAAGAAGGTAGCTCTGGCTTTTGCATTGCGTGAGCAGACGTCAGTTTCTATGCGCCCATCATTGTTGATGCGGCTGCCAATATAAGTGAAATGATCAGCCACCTCGAGTTCCTCGTTAGCAAGCGTCAAGGGGTCATCAAGTGGCTGTTCGTCCTGCAGCAACACTGCACTTTGAAGGTGCGAAGTGCATACCAAATAATGGGACCAATTTAAACTGGCTATTCAGGGTTGATTGTGCCACCCCAACATCGTCGAAAAGCAAGACGATATCGTCCGCATAATCTAGATCAACTAACCTTTCACCAGGCAGCACTTCAACGCCTACATCGTGAGATTCCGCAAGAAAACACACCACGGTGAATCCACGACGAAAGTGAACAAAAATGGGGAAATCGGATAACCCTGACGAACGCCACTTGTAATCGGAAAGCTATCCGATAGGACACCGTAGACCCTGACGCGGCCTGTAGTGTTCGAGTGAAGAGCACGAAGGATGTTCACATATTTCGTGGGAACACCTTTCCGCGCAAGTATTTCGAACAGAATCGATCGATCGACTGAATCGAACGCACTCTTGAAATCGAGGAACACAGCTATGGTCGATCTGCGGTATGCGTGGCGCTGCTCTAGCACCTGCCGCAAAGTGAATGTATGGTCTATACAGCCACGTCCTGGGCGGAAACCGGGCTGCTCTTCCCTAGTCCGAGATTCTCGTTCCGCAGTGAGGCGGCGAACGAGAATCGAAGCCAATAATTTTGTCACAACTGTGGTTAGAACAGTCTGTGCGACTGCCCTTCTTGTATATTGCCACTATAATCGATTCGCTCCAATTAGCCGGGACATTTCCTTCCAGATGCATTAGAATAAGGTCAGTGCTTTGCAGAGGACCTCATCTCCATCCTTAAATAGTTCAGGTGGGAGGGAATCCAGGCTAGCGGCACGAAAACGATTAAGGGCTGTGATGGCGTTTCAGACCTCGGCCTCCGACGGAGGCTCTAAACCAACCGCCCATGGCTCGTCCTGCATCACCTGAGTAGGATGAGGTCCGGGGACAGGGGGCCAGCTGAACTGATCTTGAAAGTGTTCCGCCCAACGAGCCATACGGCGCTCCTTATTGTGTATCTGCGCACCCGCGCTGTCTCTGATTGTGTCACTGATGCCTGGTTTTCTCGGACCATTGGTGCGGATTAGCTGGCAGAGCTTGCTGTAATTGCCTACTGCTCTTGCCTCCTTCATTTCTTCAGCCCTACTGGTCCACCAGGCTTCCTAGACAGCACGTAGGCACTGCTTTAATTCACGCCTAATAGCCCGTGTGGTCACATTGTGTTCAGAGCCAGCCGGGAGGTGTCTTTTAGATTCCAACAGGTTCAACGACCTCTCCGATATCCAGTGACTGATGCGGCGACGATAGATAGTGCCACAAGCAGATGCTCCTGCGTCGTGCATGGCGGCCGAGATCCTATTCCACTGAAGTTCAGTGTCATTAGGACAGGACAGCGGAAGTTCCGTATACAGTGCTTCTTGATAGGCTTGCCTGACAAACAATTTCTCCGTTGCGAATCGTAGGGATACTTGGCGCGCCTCCCGGTAAAGTTCATGAAAAAACGACAGCGTACCAAGGCGTGATCATAGTCGACACAGGTACTCCAGTATGAGCGGCAATCCAGGATGGAACTACGCCACCTGTAACTTATGGCTATGTGGTCAATTCGGGTCCATGGCTGGCCAGCTACAGAAGAACGCCAAGTGGCACTTCGGCGCCCATTGTGTCTAAAAGCAGTGCTAGTAAGAAACAACTGGTGCTCCGCACACAGTTGCAGCAGACGCTCATCGTTGTCAGTCCGTTCGGAGTTAAGCTCACAATTACCACCCTGCTGAGCTTCCGAAGAGCTCAGACGCCCTACTTGTGCGTTCATATCCCCTGCACTTTTTATAATATCTTAGAACTGCAGCTGATAGGAGCATAAGCGGAAACCACAAACAAACATCGTCTTTTACTACTTCGTGAATTAACCTTAGCTGACATCGTCAAACGGGATCATCATCATCATTCATCATTATACACATCAGCTAGAGGTGGGAAAACACCTCCGCTATTGTGCCGCAATATATGAAGGAAATGGTTGGCGGCATCCGGTTTCGGATTTGCCTGTCACTGTGGCAAGCCACAGGACGCCTGCGCCTACAGAGGGACCATGGATGACTTGCGCTGCACCACCCACAGCTCCATCCACACACCCCATATCCAGTGTAAACCCGAAGGAATAAGACCGGGAGGTATGCGGATGGGAGCCACGTTTCATCAACGGAGCCGGCCCACACTCCTTCACAGGCAAACACATGGTTGGCGGCATCCGGTTTCGGACTTGCCTGTCACTGTGGCCAGACACAGGACGCCTGCGCCTACAGAGGGACCATGGATGGCTTGCGCTGCACCACCCACAGCTCCATCCACACACCCCATATCCAGTGTAAACCCGAAGGAATAAGACCGGGAGGCATGCGGATGGGAGCCACGTTTCATCAACGGAGCCGGCCCACACTCCTTCACAGGCAAACACAAGCACACTGTATTTGGGAATCAAGCGAACAGAAGGCGGTGGCTGGACCGTAGTCCGCTCCATACTGAGTGCATGGAACCACTCTTCGAGCCAAACACGGCCACAAGGACCGTGCACCCTGTCCCCTCCAGCAAGGACCAACTGTCTCCTGGAGCCAGTATGGAAGAGGTAGTGGGTAACAGACAGGTAGGCACCTTGTCAACATGCACATCAAGCGCAGCCGCACCGGGGATATCAAACAGCAGCCAATCACTTGGGAGAGAGAGAGACAAAGTAATTAGCTCGATTGATGCATAAGGAAACGGTGATATAAACCTCAATTAAATAGCATATGTAATAAGTTGTTTACAAACAAATCCTGGATAAGTGCACGAGGTCAGGAAGTATAGTTCACGGAATGCCACGAACACAAAAATATTATGGAAATCGAATCGATGTGTGCAAGTTAATGGAATAAAGTACAGGGAGATATTTATATGAGAAAGAGAAGCATTAAGGTAAAAACTCACCACCTGAAATAAAGCGACTTAGCATGCAAGCACGCGGTTAGTAAAATCGAATACAGTGTGCCTACAAACGCTGCGCCGGCTCGCAGTAATTCTCTGCAGTACCCGTCGTCGCTTCTGTGGTGGCCCCAATGGGCCTAGCTCAAGGCCCACTAGACATTTATATGAGAAAGAAAGGCATTAGGACAGAACCGAAAACCCACCATCTGAAATAAAGAGACGTAGCATGCAAGCATGCGGTTAGTAAATCGAATTCAGCGTGCCTACAAACGCTGCGCCGGTGCCGCCTACGTTCACTGCAGCACCCGTCCTCGCTTCGGCAGTGGTCCCGAGTGACCTCTCTCATGGCTCACTAGGCCTGCCTGACTCAGGCACTCGCGACCGCATGTTCTACAGCACCATGCGCTCAATGTCGATGGAGTCCAATTCATTGGTGCTTGCCGCTTCCGCACTTGCCGCTTCTTCTCTGCATGCATGAGGGCTTTCTCCCGCACTTCAGCAACTGCCTTCGTGATTAGATCGCGCCATGCACCACAATCAACCGCCTTCGATTCCCATGATCTGCAATCAAGATTAGAACGTGTGAGGCTCACTTTAATCATGTTCTGGTAACGTAACTTTGGTTTCCCAGCATGCCGCTTCCCAATACTCAGCTGACCGTATAAAAGTTGTTTCGGTATCCGCGTTGAATCCATACGGCTCACATGACCGAGCCATCTCAGGTGTCTCAATAAAAGTATGCAGTCCACTTCATACATCCCACTTCGGCGCAACACTTCCGTGTCTGCAACTCTGTCGCCCCAGCCGATCCGCAAAATTCGTCGCAGACACTGCTGATGGAACCGCTCGAGATATCGCACATCCCGACGGTACATCGTCCACATTTCACTGCCGTATAGAAGAACGGACAGTACCATGGATTTGTACACCATCAGCTTTGTGCCAATGGTAAGCTGATGGTTGTTCCACACTCGGTACTCAAGCGTCCCGAATGCCGCTGCCGCCTTCGACACGCGAATACGCAACTCAACGTGTAGCTGTTGATCAGTCGACATCACACTCCCAAGGTAGCAAAAGCGGGAGGTGGTTTCCAATACTGCAGCACCAATGCTGATTCGCGGCAATATTGAAGATTGCACCTCCGGTGAAGGCTGAAAGAGACAGACAGTTTTGCTTGTGTTGATGGTGAGCCCGAATTTGGCCGCTGTCAAAGCCAGAGCACTAGTCATATGCTGCAACTCATCCGCGCTGTGTGAAAACAACGCACAGTCGTCAGCAAACAGCAACATACGGATAGTTGTCTCACAGACTAGAGTTCTCGCACCGAAACGACGGATGTTCAGCAACCCACCATCAATACGGTGCTCCACACTAACACCGTAAACACAAGCCGCATCAAAAGCACATTGCATGAAGATATATATTAAACAGGGCAGTAGCTAAGACACAGCCTTGCTTCACACCAGAGACAACTGCAAAGTCATCCGAGGTCTCTCCACTCAGCTGCACCCTCACTCGCATACCACTGTGCAGACATTCAATTAAACTTACAAACTTACGCGGGCAACCAAACTTATCCAACACCAGCCACAATGCCTCGCGGTTCACCGTATCAAATGCCTTAGTGAAGTCAACAAAAAGCGAGTACAATGGCTGGTGTCGTTCTCTGCACTTCTCTTGCAACTGACGAGCCGCAAACACCATATCTATAGTGCTGCGACCCGAACGGAATCCACATTGCTCTTCCGCCACGTTTGGTTCCACAACCTGACTGATGAGGCGATTGAGCAGGATTCGGGCAATCACCTTGCCCACACAACTCAGCAAGTTGATGCCACGATAATTCGTGCAACATTGCTTGCTCCCTTTGCCCTTGTACAGTGGTAGCACAAGGGCATCCTTCAGCTCAGCAGGCACCTCCTTCTCAATCCACACGCGTTTCACCAAGTGGTGCAGTGCAGTCAACAACACGGGTCCACCGTGTTTCAATACTTCAGGTGGGATCCCGTCACCTCCGGCACATTTGCCGTTTCGCAGCTGAGCAAGTGCTCTCTGCGTCTCATCCAGTGTCGGCGTATCCGCCAGATCCGCCTTCACATCGTGCTGCTTGAGGCCGTTCAATGTAGGCCAGTCGATCTCTGAACGGTTGTTCAAGAGACAGTCAAAGTGTTTCCGTCAAACCTGCATTATGTCTGCAGTCTGGGTGCAGGTAGCGCCTGAACTACCATCGATCAGTGTCCTCAGCGGCTCCAATCTCGGTCCACACACCGCGTTCAAGGAGTCAAAGAATTCCTCGTGTTGGCGGCGTTCGGCGTAGCATTCCATCTGCTTTGCCTTCTCCGTCCACCATGCATTTTTAATGCGACGGAGCTCTCGGGTCAGTCGCTGTCGAAGTTTGCGAAACTGACTCCTCTTCCCCAAGTCACTGGGATCTGCAACATGTGCAGCAAATGCTGCATTCTTCTCCGACACCAATGCGCCAATCGTCACATTGTTGTCATCAAACCAATCAGGCCGTTTACAGTTTGCGCGCCCGATGGTCTCCTCGGCAGCAGCTGTCACCTGGTCGCGAATGTGGTGCCACAGGTCGCCCACTGTGGCTATGCAGTCCACATCACCACACAGGCGTGCAGCCATCGCCTTCTCCAGCTCAGTACGTTTCGCCCCGGTACCGAGGGAGAGAATGTTAAATTTACGCCGATTCACGGCGGGAGTGCAATACATCGATTTACGAAAATATATGTACAGTTTGGTCCCAACCAACTTGTGACCAGTGCTACACTCAGCTCCATGCAGTACACGTGTCATGCGCACTTCACGCATATCACGCTGACGTACGATGACATAGTCGAGCAGGTGAGCGTGACCACTCCGTGGGTGCGTCCAAGTTGCTATATCACTCGCACTCAGTGCAAACCGAGTGTTCGTGATCGTCAGGCCGTGAGTGGCACACAGTGAGAGCAGCCTGTCACCGTTCGCATTCGCTGAACCAATGCCATGCGCACCGATAACATCTGTCCACGCTGATGCATCACGCCCAACGCGCGCGTTGAAGTCACCCAGCAGAAATAGTCGGTCACTCCTCGGCACAGACCGTATCACGGAGGATAGCTCAGTGTAGAACTGATCACGCGTGTCATCAGGATAACACATTGTCGGACTGTACGTGCTTATAAAAGTAGCAAACTTACCTCTTCCGAGTCGTAGGCGAACAGTCATCAGTCGCGCGCTGATGCCCGTTGGTTCACCCACCAACTGGCCATGGAGGCGATCGGATATTGCAAATCCGACCCCATGTTCACGTGGTGCTGAGGCGGCGTTCCCCACCCAGTAGAATGTGTAGCCAGCACCTGCTTCATGTAACTTACTTTGCTCAGCGAGCCGAGTTTCACTGAGCGCCGCAATATCGATGTGGTAGCGCGCCAGCTCCATCGCGACCAGTGCAGTGCTTCGCTCCGGGCGCTCGCTGGAGTTCCGGTCCAGTAGTGTGCGCACGTTCCAGCACCCGATGCTGATTGCTTTGCGCGCAGGCATACGATTGCATTGGTGGGCAATCGCACGCAAGGTGGTCGTTGTGCTTCGGAGGTTTGCTTGAGGGACTCCACCCGGAGCCTTTGGCTCAATAGCCTGACCCACAAGGCAGTGGGTGGTTTGGAGGTTTGCTTGAGGGACATATAATGCAGCTGCACAAAGAAAAAATAGATACAACATTTGCATGGCAGCTGAGCTACCTGCAACGGATAGGCGGATATGTAATGGGAACAGAATGCCAAAAATTGCCTGAGTAGTACTGGAGAAAGCCCTGCGTAGAGCATTCAGCATCCTGTTTGCGGCCGTGACCTTTCTCAACTTGTTTTGGGAAGTTTTAAGGTAATATGACAAGATAACCTCCACATCCTTCTCGTGGAGAACATCCTTGAGGAGATATTCACAAATGTGGTATACACCGTATGAACCCGGATTACCGATCGGAAGAACAGCACATTTGTCGTGGTTAACGGGTAACTGCCACTTGACGAGCCATTCGTGCAACTGGTCCAGCGCCGTTTGGAGTGTGTCCGCGTCCACAAGACTAGGTACTTTTTACAATAGAATAAGGTCATCAGCGTAGACCAAGCAGTCCGCTTGAAGATCTGCAGAAAGGTCATTAATATAGAGCCTGAAATGTTCCGGTTCAAGGTCGGTGCCTTGTGGGATACCGCTTGTCAACTACATAGAGCCAGACAGCGGTGGGTCCACCTCCACTTGAATTGTCCGATCTCTCAAGAAGTCCGCAACCCATGCAAGGACGTTCCTGGTGACGCCAAGTCCCTGGACTTGGAGCAGAAGTCATTTATGTGGGACTTTGTCAAAGAATATGCTGAAGTCAATGTAGAGAACATCTAGGAGTCTCCGATCCTCTACCGTTTTGACCCACGTTTTTCTGGCAATCAGCAGGTTAGGGGTGCAGGAGCGCGCCCTGCGGCATCTGTGCTGAGCGGTGGAGATGGCACACAGGCATTCGCAGTGGGTTTGGAGGGCGTGCTTGATGATCCGTTCCATGAGCTTGCAAATTACAGACATCAGGCATATCGGTCGATCTTTTGCAGGATCGTGCCGGTTTTCACTTTGTACTTAGGTATTACAATCCTACTTTCCAGCCAGGTGGTATGCGTCCGTCTGCAAGCGAAGGTCAGAAAACTTGAGGTATCGGCTTAGCAATGTTTGCTGCTAGCATCTTGAGGAATGACGGGTGAAGTCGATCAGGACCCTGTGCGGAGTTAGGGTTCAATACAAGAAGGAGTCTCCCGACTATTTCGGGATTGATTTCGACTTGCTCGTGAGGAGGGTAATGCTTTGCCAGCTCGAAAATGGGTGGTGAAGGTTCCACGGATTAAATCGGTTAAATAAGTAATTAAATATATAGGTATATTTCTAGGCGGACTAGAGACTGCACCCAGAAGGGTTCAGAGCAATCTTTACATTAATCCCTGCCCTAACATGGAAGTAGATAAATTACGAGTACGTATTCCTATTTGGCAAGTACAAAAGCATTGGCATTGTTTGGCGTACAGCTGATGGGGTCATAGTCGCCTATCTTGAAATTCTTCTGGTTCCTTCGGGCGGTATTAAGCTCACTGATTTCTTTTGTCGTGAAAGTTGCGCAGAGCCGTAGTTGTACCGGTTTTCTTTGGAACAGGATCCAACTCGCCCCAACTTCATTTGAAATTCATTGGACTATCTTGGCCCGCTCAGTCGCCACAATTTTTAGTGCGCATACGGAAGAACTAGGAATGGCGGAATTATAAGGGATAGGAAAAGTTAAAAAAATTAATTTCGAGGAATGCAGATAAAAACAAAAAGTATTCGATGAGAGACCTACTAAGGCGGCGTGCTTCACTAGAAATATACAATTTAATAAAAGATAGCCAACAGTTTCTTGCGCTGATATTGATTTCTTGCGCCAACTGTTAATCGTTTCAATCCCAGAAAAAAGAAAAACCCTTTCTGAGACTAGAATATTGCGTTCATTAGCAAAAAATGAATTTTATGACGTTCGCACAGGGCTTGCTGTAATGGTGACAACATCTTCGTAAAGCGTTGCTGAGTTTTTCTAGCAGAACACGGTCCGACTTCCGTAGGTTGTTGCATATAAAAGAGCAATATTCCAGACATGGCTGGACGTGGCTCTTTTAAAGTTCTAGGCTTGCATCTTCGGTTTTTATTTAACGGCGTATGTGGAAATATAATCCAGTTACTCTTGCCACTTCCTAATGAAATTGCTCTGCAAAGTTGAGGCTCATGGATTAGCGCTAGCCCAGCTCAGTTGGCATGACGTTCTGTTTGATAGTGATGCCGTTTATTGTTAGGGACCCAGCAGGTATAGAAACTTTGTGTACTGCGAGGCTGGTGGTGAAGCATTCTCGTCACCTTCATAGAGCACTGTGTCCTCTTTCTGGCTGGATAGAGCAGTGATACCACTGCTAGCATTGGCGTTTCGTTTCAGCTACGAGAACAGCTTCTTTAGGCAGGTTCGTGATTGCATGACCAGGCTATGTTGGTATTGTGATCGCTTCTGAAGCTTTCTTAGAGTGCACAGATTGCTGAGCACTTTGTACTACGGTTGATCTGACGTTACCTATGTTGACTTGAATAGGTCCCACAGTTTGCGTTATCTGTTCCTTAGGGATCTCACCCCTCGGTTGATCCAGGGGCCTTTGGGGAAAGCCTGCCCTTGGTCATAGGAACAAGTTTTTCTATGACCGACATCCTCTTCGAGCGTAGTAGGTTTCATGCTTCATCAACGTTCAGGGATTGTGGAACGGTGCAGTCTCTGATGCTTGGCACTTCTCTTAACCTGGATGGGACAACACGCCAGAAGTTGCGACGGCGTGTCCCTTGATCATATACGGCAAGGCGGCATGCCCAAAAGAAGGAGGTTGCAGAGTGGTTACTCCGGCCGAGTGGTTGTGGGATCTTCAGGCCATGGACATCAAAGAGCGCTGGTGTGAAGGCGAGGTCCATTAGGTTTGGTGTTTGACCCGGTATCATCCGTGTCGGTGCTGAGATGTGCTGGATCAGATTGCATTCATGAATAAGGTCGAGAAAGTCAGTCTCGATAGCATCTTGGTAGAGATCAAGGTGAAGGAGGTTCCAGTCGACACATTAGTGCAGTGAAGTCGCAAACTAGCAGACAGTTACTTCCTCGTCCGTTGGTTTTTACAGACTGCAATGAACGAATGCCTGAGCTCAGTGGAGCTCTAAGCCACACCGAGCGTGTGCAGCTGATAGTCGTCATGCGTTCGGCACCACAATATCTCTGAGGCTCCGCCATTGGCGCAGAGAGCTTAGATAACGTGTACCTGTAACGGGGTCTAGGAAACCAGTCCAGTATGCTCGACCTTACCACCTAAGCGCAGGTTACCGGAGTCAGCGGATCAGTTCGATCGAGAGAACGCGTGAACCCACCGGGAGACACAGCGATGGCTGGACAGCGAATCACGAGTGGCACGCGTATCCAGAAACCGACAAACCGGATTGGTCAATAGAACATAGAGGGCGCACTGGCAACTCGAGAATCGCTATTAACGGCAAGTTTCAGAGTGCAAAGCCAAATATGAGCGGTCCAAAGAAACACGGCCAATCAGATGCCAAGCACGAAAGATGTGATCATTGCGCGAGACAGGAAGACAGCGACCGAAGAGGAATAACATAACCCAGTGAAATAAAAGGGGAACGCGACCAATGAGGTGAACCGAAAAACAGGAGACCCACTGAGAAGGCTCGAAGATTAACAGTGTTTATTTCTTTTAAATAGGCTACACTATACTGAATAAACGCTTGTTTTCCGCCCGCCGCCATCGTGACTTTTTGATCGTGTCCGCGTCACATAACATGGTGACAGAGGAGAAGAAGAAACCGATGCCCAAGATGCAGCTTGCAGTTGGAGGTCAACCGGCGATTCCGTTTCCATCCCCTTTGCAGGTAACTGAGAGTTCTTTACCAGACAGTTAGCTGATTTGGAAGAGCAAGTGGGCGGATTTCGCAACACTGACTCAGCTGGACGCCCAGCCGATGAACTACCAACTCGCAATGTTTAGGCACGCTATTGGTGACGATGCAAGGAGGGTTCTTGAAACACTGAAGTTTGGCGACCAGAAGGCGGATCTATCCGAAGTGATGCGGACATTTGGCGAGTTCTGCGAAGCACGTGTGAACGAGACCTACCAACGATATCTGTTTTTTGGACGCGATCGTTTACCGGGGGAGTCGTTCGAGAAATACATCACAGAACTGAAGCTCTTGGCACGAACTTGCAATTTCTGTGAATGCATGAAGGAGTCACTGATACGGGATCGCATCGTTATTGGGATAAGGAACGATGAACTCACACGCCGGTTTCTGCGACAAAGGAACTTGTCACTGGAACAGTGTGTCGACATCTGCCTCAGTGAGGCCAGAACAGATCAGCAAGTCGAACATCTGCGCGCCGAAAAGAATACGGAGTTGTTCGCAGTATCCCGAACCGAGGGACGTATCTCGAGATCACCCGATGAACAGGTAACTGATTGCCGATTTTGCGACCGCAGGCACCAAAAGAAGAAAGAGAGTTGTCCAGCGTGGGGTCGGACGTGCATGAAGTGCTCCAAGAAAGGTCACTTTGCTCGTTGCTGTAGATCATACAGAGTGAGTTCGGTTGCCGACGATGCCAGAGAACGGGAACAAGAATTGTTGATAAACAACATGGATGGCCGGGCGAAAAGCAAGTGCGTGTTTGCAACACTTTTGGTTCGAGGACAACCGGTACGTTTTCAGCTAGACTCCGGGGCTGCGGTTAACATCTTGCCTGAAAAATACTGCAAGGGAGTGCGATGTGAAGAAACTCAAAAGTGTCTCAAAATGTGGAACGGCTCAAGGCTGCAACCGAAGGGCATCGTCATTTTGGAGACGGTCAATCGAAAGGAAGGAACAGAGCACCCGCTGGAGTTCCTGATTGTTTCGGAAGACCTTATGCTCATTCTGGGCATTGATTCTATTCAGCGTTTTGGTTTTGTTTCTTTTAACCGCGAACGTTTTGTTCACGCGTGTGACGTAGAGATAGATATTTTTGATAAGTACTCGAGTGTATTTGATGGCGGAGTATTGATGTTCGAGGGACCCGCTCACTTATCGTTAAACGAGCTAGCAACACCGGTGGCGTTATCAGCTAGGAAGGTGCCAATTGCCTTGCGCGAAAAGTTCTTGAATGAGTTGCAACGTCTCTGTAGTCTGGGAGTGATAGCTAAAGTTGACGAACCGACTGATTGGGTCAGCCAGGTGGCGATTATTACAAAAAAGTCAGGCGAGCTGCGTATATGCATTGATCCGAAACCGCTTAATGCCGCACTCAAGAGAGAGTATTTTACGTTACCGACACTAGACGACATGCTGCCGGTGTTATGCAATTCTAAAATGTTCACGAAAGTCGACCTCGCCTCTGCGTTCTGGCACGTATCACTAGATGTTGAGTCAAGCTACATGACAACTTTCGGAACACCATTCGGGCGGTTCCGTTGGCTTCGTTTACCGTTTGGACTGAAAGTGTCTAGCGAAATCTTCCAGAAGCGACTGATGCAGGCGTTGGACGATCTACAGGGAGTATTCTGCGTGGCGGACGACGTGTTGGTTTTTGGCGCTACTCGTGAAGAGCACGATCAGAACCTTCGTAGCCTTTTACAACGTTGTGTTGAAAGAAACATCAAACTGAAACGCGAAAAGATCGAACTACGCAGTACAGAGGTTATATTTCATGGGCATGTGTTAAGCGCGGAAGGGCTAAAACCAGACCCTGAGAAAGTGAGAGCTATAAGAGATATGCCGTCTCCCACAGATGTGAAAGCGGTTGGCAGGCTAAATGGGATGATCAATTATCTGAGCCGGTTCCTACCCAAGTTAGCTGATGTTATGACACCGATCAGGAAGTTGACTCATAAGGGCGAAAGCTGGCATTGGGGTGCAGAACAAGAAGAGGCCTTCCAGGCAATCAAGGAACTCATCACTAACGCACCTGCTCTCGCCTACTATAATCCGCAACTCTCCCTCGAGATTCAATGCGACAGCAGTCAATTTGGTATCGGGGCCGTACTCATGCAGAATGGGAAACCCATCGATTTTCGCAGTAGGACGTTGACAGAGACCGAGCGTCGTTACGCCCAGATAGAAAAAGAGATGCTTGCAGTGGTTTACGCCGTCGAACGTTTTAATGACTATACATTTGGCCGGAAGACTACAGTGTTTACAGATCACAAACCGTTGGTTTCCATCGCCAAGAAGCCGCTACATGTTGTTCCCCGCCGCTTACAGAGAATGCTTATTCGCCTTCAAAAGTACGACCTAGAGATTGTGTATCGACCTGATCCCGAAATGCATATCGCAGACACGTTATCCAGGGCATATCTGTCAGACACACCAGAGGAAGACGAAGATTCAGATTTCGTTCATGCAGCACAACTAGTAGCTGTTACCGAGGAACGACTGAAACAGCTCAAGCAGTGCACGGAGGAAGATGGGTTATGCAAGCTACTGAGGCAGACAATACTAAGTGGCTGGCCCAAGAACAAGAAAGATCTACCAGGAGATCTGACCCCGTTTTTCCATTTTCGTGATGAACTCATTGTCCAAGATGGGTTGATATTCAAAGGCAATAGGATACTAATCCCCAAAGCGTTGCAGCGCGCGATGACGGAGCTTGTCCACTATGCACATTTGGGAGTCAACAATTGTGTGGCCAGAGCGCGAGAGCTAATGTTTTGGCCGGGAATGACCAGTCAAATACGAGATTACGTCTCAAATTGTCTGGCATGCCGAACACACGACGTACGTCAGTCAAAAGAACCGATGATGCTCCGTGACGTTCCGGACAGGCCCTGGCAGATGGTTGCAGCAGACATCTTCATCCACAATGGAAAAAGTTACTTAGTGTTGGTTGATTATTTCAGTGACTACTTT